CCAAGGTCATGATCTCCTTCTGAACAGACGTCAGCATAATTTGCCAAAAGTTCTTTTACCTGAAGAGCCTGTGATAATGCCAAATGAACTATGCTCTTCATATAGAGGTCAGTCAAATATTCTGGAAGTGTATGTCCTTTCATTACAGTTGCATTCCTTGCTTTAACATTGATTGGCTCTACCTCCTGGCATACACCCAACAATGCCCCTTCCTTAAGTGTCTGCTCACATTTAGAGAAATTGGCCACTGTTATAGGTACTACTTGATAGCCTGCCACAAGTGACCTTCCAATCTTCAAATCCACTGGCCTGGATGGGTCTTCCACTGCTTCTATAAGCATCAGGCTTCCATAGGGATGTTCTTTTATCCTACCCCAAATTATCTTTTCTGACATAGGGGGTATTGTAGTTGATTTAAGTGCTGTTACATGTAGATCAATGGATGTAGCAACACTTACTGGAATCTGACTTTTGTTGTTTACAATCGTCATTTTATCTAAGTTATTTACACACTTCCTCGGTAGTAGATAGTCCAATCCTAATATGCATTGGTCTTCAATGTCAGTGAAGTATACTTTCTGTCTGTTCTTCGTGCCCATGAGCTTGATAGTTACCCACACTGGTCCCCACAACCTTGCATAATGTCTTGTCACACCACGGAGCTTCTGTACAGCTTCTGGTACTCCTTCATGATCTAACACTTTGATGTTCACAAGGGCTTGCTGAGATGCAGAATCTATTACAAAGTTGCACCTTTGGTCATCCAGCTTCCCTGTCACGTAGATACTATGTGTGCTTGCCATTTTACACGTAGCTGTTGGGACATTCACGATGGAGTTTGGTGGGTGTCCCTCAGCACCAACCACTACTGGTTTCCCGAAGCTGACTTATTGGTGGTATTTTTCTTACACTGGCTCCTCAGATGTCCTTGCTCCCCACAGTTCCAACAGCTCTGCTGGGTAGCAGCCTTTCATGCTGTATCATCTCCCCTGTGTTGAAGTTTCCAGCATTGAGCTCTCTTGTGACCATGTTTGTTACAGTGCCAGCAAAGTCCCTCAAACTTCTCTGAAAGCTGACCTTTTCTGGCCTTGAATCCAGATGACTGTACCAACCTTGGTACCTCTGTGCTGGACTTAACGTAGGATTCAAATTCGAGAGCTCTGGCCATTGCATCCTGCATGGTAGAGGGGTGTGCTTGCTTCACTTATATTTTTAGTTGTGGGCTGTCCAATGCATCTATAAACTGATCTCTCAGCAACAACTTGAGGAGATTGGGTGGTGCAGTTGGGTAGGCCTTGTGTGCCATGCTTTCCAAGTCCTGTGCCAGCTCTTGCAGGCTCTCACCTTTAGCATGGACTCTCATCCTAAACCTAGACCTGTAGACTTCCGACTGATTTTGTGTTCCGTACCTGAGTTCTAGAGCCGCTACCAGTGTTCTATAGTTATGCCTGTCGTCTGCTGACAACTGTCCAAGTATTTCCAGTGATTGTCCTTTCAAGCTCGTTGCCAGATATAAAGCTTTCTGTTCCTCTGTCCATCCATTCATCTCTGCCAGTAGCTCAAATTGTGCTCTATATGCTTCCCACAGTGCTTTCCCATCGTATTCCTGTGGCTTCCTTCACACTGGATCACTCCTAGTACTGACATTCATATCTGGGATGTGACTTCTAACGGGACTGAATATGTCTGCATTAGGGTTTAGCTGCAGGGTCTGGAAGGGGCTTGTCATTGTCTGGGGCTGGTTAAGTCGATGGTAAATGTATCCTACTTGTGTCAAAGACAATAAATCGTCCTTTAACGTATCCAATTCGCTTTTAAATTTACTAATAATTTCCATTTGTACTTCTTGTCACTGTTGTTGACTTTCCTGTAGTTGCTGCTGACTTTCCTGCAACTGTTGGATACTTTCTTCCTGTTTCCTTTCTTGTTCTAGTTGCCACTGCTGTAATCTCTCTTCTTGTTTCTTTTCTTTTTCCTCCAACAACTGCTGTAATTTCTCTTGTTTATTTTGCTGTTCGAGCTGCCATTGTTGCAGGTTTTCTTGCAACTGCTGTTCTCTCTCTTCTTGTTTCTTTTATTTTTCCTCCAACAACTGCTGTAATCTCTCTTCTTGTTTATTTTCTCGTTCTTCTTGTTTCTTTTATTTTACCTCCAACCACTGCTGTAATCTCTCTCCTTGTTTATATTCTCGTTCTTCTTGTTTCTTTTACTGTTCTTATACTGCTGCCATCAAACCTGCTAAGCTGTTGTTTGATTTTCCGCCTCTCGTTTTCATCTTCTTCTTTTTTTTGCTGTCCCACTCTCTGACACCAATTTGTTACGTCGCCGTTCGTTAGTTAATTTTCCGTAAAAATTATTTCCGAAGAAACTCTAACGATATAAGCCCTTTCTTAAATAAAACTGGTTTATTCTTTCCGAATACAACTTTGCAATACACT